ACTATTAAAAAATAATTATAGCTACTATAACTTGTTAAGGGATACACAATATAAAAAGATGCAAATCATGACATCAAAAACATAAAATAGAGTGATGTTACCAAAATGGTGGAGTAGAAGAAATCTGACTTTACTCTCCCCCACAGAAACTCAAAAACAGATATCCAGCACCAAGATTATCATCAACAACATCCCAGAACTCAAATCTGAGGCTGAGACAATCCCTGGGACCATAGAGAAGTGAAAAACTCTGAGCAGGTGGTAAGAAAAATGGACTTCTCTATCCACAATGCACTTCTCCCAATCTTCCAGGCACTGCATGTGAAAAATTCCTCCCTGACTCATGGTTTCTACACTGCAAAAAGTGAGACCAAGGTGGACAGCCAGGTTCCCCATCATCTTGGGTTCCCTTGCAGGAAAATCATTCCTGCCTCCACCAACAGGAAGCAGTGCAAGCGTCTATAGGAAAAAAAACCCTGGGGGCAGCTAAAGACAAAGGGGAGAGGTGGAACTAAAAACCCCAGATCAGGAAACTCTGCTCTTTACCTCAGCCAAAGGAGATACCAAATCAGAGTGGCTGCTGAGCAGCACCATACTATAGGAGACAGGCTCCATGGGCCTCTAGGCACAAACCCCTAGCCAGCCTTCCCTCACAGCCAGGGCATCTCCTCTGGGACACCTCCATCCAGGATGGGTAGTGCTCTGAACATTTGTGAGAGCCAACGCAAACCTGGGTTTAAGACACCATCTAATGCTGGAAAAAAGGCAGTGATCTAGGATTAGGGGACTCAAAGTCACTGCAAAGAACTTATAAGCAGACATACCCTAGAAAGACCAAAACAATACAGACAGAGAAAAGTGTAACAAATAACTATTCCTTCAATTTGGGTCCATAGACATGTGTTCATTAAAAAAAACAACAAACGGAAAAATGACCTCCCAAATGTAGACAGCAATGTGTGAGTGCTCAGATCAAGAATTCAAAATACCAATTCTAAGAAAACTCAACAGACTCCAAAATAACACAGAGGAGTAATTAAGAAATTTAACAGAGAAGTTTAACAAAGAGATTAAAATAATAATTTTTTTAAAGATCACAGAAATTCCAGAACTGAAAAATACATTTGCTGAGCTGAAAAATGCATTCGAGGTTCCCAACAATAGAATGAACCAAGCAGAAGACAGAATCAGTAATCTTGAAAACAGGCTATTGGAAAATACACAGAGGAGAAAAAAGAAAAAATAAAAGACTTCTGTACAGCAAAGAAAACAATTATCAAAGTGAAGAGACAACCTCAGAATGGGAGAAAATTTTTGCAAACTACCCACCTGACAATGGATTAACAACCAGAATATAGAAGGAACTCGAACAACTGGATAACAATAAAATAAATAATCTGATTTTTAAATGGGCAAAAGATCTTAATAGACATTCCTCAATAGAAGACATATAAATGGCCAACAGATATATGAAAATATGCCCAACATCACTAATCACCAGGGAAATGCAAATCAAAACCACAATAAGGGCCGGGCGCGGTGGCTCACGCCTGTAATCCTAGCTCTGTGGGAGGCCGAGGCGGGCGGATTGTTTGAGCTCAGGAGTTCGAGACCAGCCTGAGCAAGAGCGAGACCCCGTCTCTACTAAAATTAGAAAGAAATTAATTGGCCAACTAAAAATATATAGAAAAAATTAGCCGGGCATGGTGGCGCATGCCTGTAGTCCCAGCTACTCGGGAGGCTGAGGCAGGAGGATCGCTTGAGCCCAGGAGTTTGAGGTTGCTGTGAGCTAGGCTGACGCCACGGTACTCTAGCCTGGACAACACAGTGAGACTCTGTCTCAAAAAAAAAAAAAATGTCACATGTATCCCCCAAATATGCACAACTATTACGTACCAATAAACATTTCTAAAATAAAAATAATTTTTTTAAAAAACATACAATGTCGAGGGAGTAGTAAAAGTGCAGAGTCTTTTTCTGTGGTTGAAGTTAAGCTATCAGCTTAAAATAGCTGGTTAAAACTGTAAGATGTTTTATGTAAGCCTTGTTAGGTCCGGAGCCGAGGTAAAGACACACAAAGCCTTATATGTAGCAAAACGCTGTTTATTTTGCGTGTCTGGGTGCAGATGGTTGGAGGCGAAAAAGTGTCCACACTGAGGGAGAGGAAAGCCTTGGGTTTTATAGACAGTTTCTCCATGGGGAATAAGTAAGTGGACCAGAAGAGCTGCTTGTAATAAATTATTTTTCAAACAACTAGCTCCTAGGACCCCTGCCCCAGTCACATCCGTCCTTCAAGCCTCGTGATGACCACAAACAAAAACCTATAGTAAATACACAAAAGATGAAAAGAAATCAAAGCACACCACTACAGAAAATTATCTAATCACAAAGGAAGACAACAAGAGAGGAAGAAAGAAACAAAGGATCTACAAAACAACCGGATAACAAAACTCAGCAGTATTTTAAACCCTGCCTATTCCAAAGACAGGACTGGCCCTCACAGCTCCCTGGAGATAACCTCTGAGCTCGGGAAACATCCTACCTGAAAAGAGTGTCTTTGTATACGCGGAGCCTTGGGCCTTGACAGGCAGTTTACTAACGATGTGATTTATAGTAGTTCCTTGGGCCACGCTGTATCAGTTTGCCCTCTGGAGAGCTGGAGACCCAATAACTAAGGTCGCTACACCAGCATCCCATGCCCTGTGACAAACTCTAACAACTCTGGAGCTTGCCTAGTTGTCGGTACTGCATGCATATTGTGACACATCGTTGCTGGGATAATTGAATGCTGCCGGTACGACAACTGGGAGAAGACAAATGGAAGCTCAGCCTGCTCTCTCCTGGACGCCACATTATGCACCTTTTTCTTTGGTTGATTCTAATAGGTATCCTTTTGTTACGGCAGGGCTGACAGAGAATAGACCGAGAGACACAAGCAGAGATTTTGGCAATACAGGTTTTACATGCCGGCCAGCAAAGCTCAGAGGGGAATTTGCTCTCCCCAAATTCTGAGCACCAGACAAAGAGCATTGCAGTCTTTTATACACTCTGCTTAAGGAGGAGGGGCACAGCTACAACAGGGTTGACTTTAGTGAGGCAGGGTCCTGAGCCACTTTACAGCTTGGTGCACTAATTGCTACAGGTGATTTAGGAAGGGAAGGTCACAGGTAAGGAGGGGGCCCAGGTAAGGATCGCAAGGGGAAAAGCCCGGTAGTGGAATTTCTAAGAATTCCACTTTAGTGGAATTTTCCAATCTTCCACTTCACTTTCACTGCATAATAAACTATGAGCATAAGTATAACAGTTTCTGCGTTCTGTGAGTCCTTCTAGCAAATCATTGAACCTGAGATTGATCTTGGGTAACCTCTGACACGTTAGGTAACAGCATTGCATCAATGTTAATTTCTTAGTTTCAAAGTTGAACCATATAAGATATTAACATTAGAGGAACATTAGAGGAAGCTCAGTGAGGGATATACAAGAACTATGCAACTTTTTGAAAGTCGAAAGTTATTTCAAAATAAAAAGTTAAAAAAAAAAACAAGGAGACGTGATGATAATTGTCAAAGCAGGGTGTTAGGTACATGTGGGTTCATTATATTTTTTTTTCTCTACTTTCATACAGGTTTGAAATTTTGCATAATTAAAAAAAAAACCTTTTTAAGCTACAGAATTCGATAGTCGAGTGCAACAAATCAAAATGATCACATCCAAAACGCATAGAGCAGGGTCAGCTACAAAGTTGGTGAAGAAACAATTTAGACATGGGGAGTTTATTAAGATGTGGAAACTCTGGCAGAAAGAAAGTAATTGCCCGCGGTTAGGGAGAACACAAATCCTTGGCAGAGGCCAGATTGGAAGCCAGAACTTTCACTTCCAAACAGTGGGGTCAAGGCCACCTTCCCTGAAACCACCACCCTGTGTAGCCACTATCCACAGCAACGGGGACTGCCAGGGTCCAACCTCCACCGTCCCAGCAGGACCTACTAGGTGATAAGCCTGCAGGCTGTGTGACAGGTCCTGCCTCTTCCCGCACACACAAGCTAGCCACCACCTTGGGGATACAGTGGGGAGCAGCAAGGCCCCTTAGTGAGCAAAGGCCCCATATCACAGATGGGGAGGCCGAGGCCCAGGAGCGAGGACACCTGCCTAGAGTCACCATGTCTCAGAAATCCTGCCAGGAGAGGAGCCTCAGTCTCCTACTGGCCAGTGGGTGTCTCCTGATTTCTTTCCCAGTCTTGCACAAGAGCCGATCTTTGTCCTCAGAACCTGGTTGAAATTCCAGTTCTATAATCTATTAACACTTATTGTGCAAACCTGAGCAAAGCAACATCCCCTCCCTGAGCTTATTTCCTTACCTGCAAAACAGGGTAGGGGGGTGAGGGGCTGGCTGCATCCTACTTCCCAGGGTTGTTATGCATGGAAGTGAGGGAACCTCTAAGCCTCTCATCCCACTCACGGAGAGGAGACGCGACTCCCCTCTGGGTCGCACACAACGCACAGCCTGACACATGGCAGGTGCTCCACAAAATTTGTCCAGGGAATGTCAGGTAATGCTAAGCATAAGAAAAGTCAAATTTTAAAGCAGAAACATGGGGAGAGAAGAAAATCATTCACCTTACAGAGCAACACTTTCGCACAAAGACCACCTGAGGGGAGCCTATTAAGTTCACGCGTTAACAGCTTGAGTCCCTGAAGGGCACAGGATGAAAGACCAGGAAAGGTGGCAAAGACAGGGACTTCACTTTGGAAACACGGCTGGCTGGCGTACACAAGTACAAGTAGTCTCAAAGGAAGCCCCGGCTTTGAGACGGAAGGGCTGCACCTTCAAGGCAATCCTCCCAGGGCAGCCCTGCACAGCACAGCACACCCACCCAGGGAGGCGGGGAGGAAGGAGGGAAACTCAGTGAGCCCCGCCATGCGGGCTGAGAGCTCGCCTGGCAGTGGCCACCCTTGGACTTCGGTGTCCCAGCCCCCTGGTGGGAGGAGAGAGGGGCTGGGCAGCCAGCCTGCTGGAGGCCTAGGTCTGCAGTTGAGGAGAGGCCAGCCTGAGCCTACAGTGCCAGCACAGGACAGAGGTGAGTCGAGAGAGCCATGCCCAGGGCAGGGAGGGGCTGGGAGACCCCTGGGGACTGGCCCGTCCCAGGAATGGCCCCTGGGACGGCTCCTACTGACTGAGCACTGCTTCCTTCACTGGGCACCCAGGGAGCCAGGCCCTGAAGCAGGACTTAGGGCCACAGCATGGCTGAGACAGAGGTCCTGGCCCTCTTCCCGTTTCTGTTTTAGTAGGGAGGAGACAGCAGTAAACGAAAACATAGTAAGTGAGTGAATTATCTCGTATCTTAGAAGGTGATCAGTGAAAACAAAAAGAGTACGGCAGCGTGAAGGGGACTGGGTACACCCGGGGAGGGGCTTGGGATTTCGAAGAAGGTGGTCACTGAGAGGTGGAGGTGACACTGATGTGGGACACCGGGAGTGGAGATGGCATCCGAGGCAGGGTGTTCTGGGCAAAGGGCGCAGCCCCAGCCAAGGCTGGCGGAGCAGGGAGGCCTGGGGTGTTCGGGAACAGCAAGGAGGCAGGAGCAGGAGCAGGCACAGTGCAGAGAGCGAGGGGCAGAGAAGAGGGGCGCGAGGAGAGAAGCTGGTAAGGTGGGGCCTGCAGGGGACCCAGGGGCAGAAGATGGGGCTCCCTGCCAGCACCCCTGCAGTCCTGACTTGCATATGAACGCCACTTGCTACATGTCTGCCTGACCTCACAAAGTCTCCTCCCTCCCCAAGGCCCACATCCTCTCTATAATGGTAAGAACCATGGTGCATTGCAGGGGTGAGGTGAGGAAAAAGGGAAATCAAAAAGTGGCAGCTGGCAGAAAGAGTTACGGCATGCCTCCTGCGATCTAGACACGCAGAGTGGGCTCCGGGGTGCTCACTGCCTTGGGGGAGGGACATGTCACTAAATATGAACTTGTCCCTAACACTAATAGCACCCAGTGGGGGCACGAAAGAGGTCCTGGGTTCTCCCCGGGTACTGCCATCAGGAGGGTGTCATGGAGGAGGGGTCCCTGGAAGCTGGGGCTCACTAGGAACACGGGGGCGCTAAGCCTTGGCCGGAGGGAACCGCAGGGGCGAAGGGTAGGAGGAGAGTGAGTGGAGCCCGGGATGAGGGTGAGCTGACACAGGAGAGAGGCAGGCGGGCTCCGTTCCACAAACAGTGGGTACCAAGGAGCACATCCCAAGAGGGGAGGAAAACATGACCTGCAGTTCAAGAGCTCACGCTGGCAGCTGGGAGCAGATAAGAGGGATGTGGAAGCCAGGCAAGAGATGGCAGAGGCCTGAGCGGTAGCCAAGGAGATGGGCAGGAGCAGACGGATCTCAGAGACTGGAGAAGAAGGATGGACGGCACCTAGGGGCTGCCTCGCTGCGGCCAAGGATTTGCTGTGAAGGAGGCGGCACCCACCCTGGCTTCGGGGATACCCAGGGGCTCCAGGGGAACACTTCCCAGACAGGGAGCAGGCTTCCTCCCCTCAGCTCCATGGTACCCCCACAGGGCTCACAGAAACAGGGCTAAATGAGCCCAAAACTTTCCCCCCCGAAAGCCTCCACAGTGGGGCTGTTGTGTGGACATAGACTCTTGGCCACCTCCAGCTGTGTGGCTAGGGGCCACTCACTTAACCTTGCTGGGATTGTTCTCTTCATGTGTCACCTTCCTTGACTTTGCATGAGGATTTCCCCAGGCAATGCTTGAGCGAGGACTGCATACCACGCCTGGTCCACAGCCAGTGCCCCAGAGAGAGTGCGGACGTGGAGTGGCACTCAGCTTTTCTCCACCCAGCAGCCCCTGGCTGACACCTGGCCCGGGACACTTCCTCCCACACACAAGTTCTTTGCAGCGCCCAACGCTCAGAGCAGACCTCCAGAGCAGCCAGACCAGAAGTGTCTCTCCTCAGTTACCAGGCAGACCCAGGACAGGATGAGCAGCCCAGTGCACCGAGTTTCGTTGGGGGACACCTGGAGCGGGCAAGTGCATCCCGACATAGACAGCGAGAGGCGCACACAGTCCTTCGAAGTGGAACGGCTCACCAACATCCTTGACGGAGGTGCCCAGAACACCGCGCGCCGGAGGAAAGTTGGTAAGGGGAGGCTGAGGAATGGAGCATCTGCTTTATGCCCCATGCTTTGCTTGGAGGAGAGTCCTTCATTAGCAGTCCTGCCTTCAAATAAACTTTGCCCTCGAAATCCCACTGTTAGAGATTCATTCCTTTGGACGGTAAAGACACTCGTAACATGCCACTGTTCCCTGAGCTCATCTAAGGGGTAGAAAAGACCTAGGCAGCAGAAGACCTGGATGCTGGTTTTAAAATTCTACACTGCATAGCTTTGTAACCTCAGGCAAATCATTCTCCCACCTCTGGTCCTCAGTTGTCTCACCTATAAAATGACAATAACATCTGACTTTCTTTCCAGGTCCATGAAGCAAGTGAGTGGGAAGATTTGAAGGTGTCAGAAACCTCACCCAGGTCCCTAAGCCCTCTTGTTCTCTGTCCCCTGCAGAGAGCATCATCCACAATGACCCAGAGTTTAGCTATAAGGATAACTATTTCATGACCCAGAATGAGCTTTACGAGGCTGCCATGCGGAAGACATTCCACATCCGCATGCTGACACAGAGCCTGGGCTGGTCGGAAGAGGAAGTAATCTACGCTTACAGGTGCTGACTCCTGATTCCTAGAGGAACCTACCTGGGATCTCCTGGAACGTTCCTCCCACCCCAGGCCCATGAGCCACTTTCCCCAACAAAGGCAGTACTGGCTGGGAAAGCAGGATGCCAGGTGCCCCCTCCCTCCTGTGCTCTACCCCGGCTGGGGGTTCCCGGGCCCCTGTCTCCCATAGGCTACTCAACCACAGCATCTCTCCTCCATAGATCCCTGTCTGGAGACACAGTGTTAGGTCTGAACACAGTCTTCCTGAAAGCCCTCAGGAGCCTGGGCTCGGAGGAACAGATTGCCAAATGGGAGCCACTCTGCAAAACGTGCCAGGTCATCGTAACATACGCCCAGACAGAACTGGGACACGGTGAGTGCAGGCTGTCGCATGCAGTGTTTAGGTGTGCGCTGCACAACTCCAGAGGGCCCATTCACATGTTGGTAGTCATAGATTTATGTATTTAATAGGAGAATTTCCAGTAGATGGCAGTCAAGGGTCTTTTTCTAATTTGCACAAACATTGTATGAGCTACCAGTGGGGCAAGTGATGCCTTCTGGAAACATCAGCATCCATCCCTTGTCATGGAATGGCCACAGGGATTGTGTGTCCCGCACACAGCCCATGGACGAACGGGGAGAAATGCCTGCAAGTGTAGCTGGGAGCCGGCCCTTACTCCATACTGGGCTGGTGCCTGAGAGTTCCAGGGCCACCTGGAAGCCACTTCCCAGGTAAGAACCCATCTAGGCCCAATGTCTAACTCCCCTTCTTGATCCCAAGGGACATACCTTCAGGGCCTGGAGACCGAAGCCACCTATGACGCAGCCACCCAGGAGTTTGTGATACACAGCCCCACGATAACTGCCACCAAATGGTGGCCTGGGGACCGTGAGTATCCATCCATCCCCCAAGGAGAACAAAGTTGGAGGGCAGAGTGGCACTAGCTTTGATGTCCACAGACCTCAGGTTGATTTCCTATTCTAGGCGGGCGACCTGGGGCAAGTCGATTCCCCTCCCTGAGCCTCAGGTCCTCACTCTGTAAAATAGTGAGTCACTGGGAGGTCCCCAAGGGAACTTTGAAGTAGAGGACAAAACACACCCAAATTTGGGGGGATGAGGAACAAGGCCTCACACACACACACATACACACACACACACACACACACACTTGGCCTAGCGCCAGGCCCTCCCCACGACCCCAGTTCCTCTCATCTCCCGAGTTAATGATGAAGTTGCCACCAGCGGGAGCCCAGGCCCTGCGATTACAGTTCGTGAGAAAAGCACCCTCCTTCTCCTTGCTGCACACGCCCAGAAAGGCTCACTCCCGCCACCAGCGCCCATCGGGCAACTCCCCAACACACGCCGTACCTCCCCCTATGGCCACCAGGTGGCGGCCACATCAAGCGTCCCGAGGCTGAATGGTTTTCCAAGCCCCCAGGAGGGGGTCCTCCTTCCTCAGACTTGAGAATTCACCTCTGAGGACACATCTGGGGCACTTGGGGACCCAGTCGGTGAATGCCTTGTGCGGAAAAAAATAAAGAAAACAAATGTGAGGAGTCCAGCTAGAGCAGGGGAGCGACAGAGAGGTGAGATACAGAGGGGGGATTGAGAGAGAGAGAGAGAGGCAAGAGAAATGAGAGAGAGAGAGAGAGAGAGAGAGAATGAATAACCACTGTCAAAAGTACAGAGAAAAGAAACCAACCTTCAAGATCAGGCAGACCAGGGTTCAAATCCCAGCTCTGTCCCCTCCAGGCCAGTTACCTTCAGGGTGTCACTCCACTCTCTGAGCCTCAGTTTCCTTATTGGGAAAATGGGACTTCCTCGCACCTGCCCTGTAAGAGCACCACCTGGATTGTGATGAGTGGTGATTACCTGCATTCATCATCATGAGGTTGATGACGGTGATTGATTAGGAGTTTGGGGGGGCAGAATCTCACTCATTTCATTTGCCTTTGCCAAATCACTGCTAGGTCTGATTCTTTGGGGGCAATTCCCTCTCTCTGTGACCCGTGACTTAGGGCCCCATCAGTGACCCCAGCCCCAGGAGGCTGGCTTGGCAGGCAGCAATGCACAGGTCGTCCTGTGATGGGCCTCTCATCTCTCTGCCCTCAGTGGGACGGTCGGCCACGCATGCCCTGGTCCTGGCCCAGCTGATCTGCTCAGGAGCCCGGCGGGGCATGCACGCCTTTATTGTGCCCGTCCGGAGCCTTGAGGACCACAGCCCGCTGCCAGGTAAGCCCATGCTGCTCCCTCAAGGACCCCTGCCAGGAGGAGACCCTACCAGGCCTCCCTGTCTTGGGGCCCCAGAGGTCCACGGGAGAAGCTGAGACACGTCTCTCCTTTGGGCAGGGAGGGGTCCAGTTGGGAAGACTTGGTGCTAACTGGTTGGTGACTCTGAGCAAGAATCAGAATCTTCCTGACCTCAGCTTGCTCTCCTGTAAAACAGGTGTGATAACACCGATGTCACAGGCGGCTGTGAGCTGGAATGCATGTGTGACACCTGGCACATAGCAAGCGTTCAACTGATGGGTGTTCTCATCTCCATCTCCTTCTAGGAATCACTGTTGGGGACATCGGGCCCAAGATGAGCTTTAATCAATTGGACAATGGCTTCCTGCGACTGGACCATGTGCGAGTCCCGAGGGAGAACATGCTGAATCGCTTTGCACGGGTCAGGACCCTGGGGAGCAGGGGACCTGCACTGCCTGGAGAAGGGACCTGTGTTCTGTGCAGGCTGATGCTGGCCCTGGGTCCTCATCCATAGAGCTGAGTTTTGGTCACATACCCCCACCCAAAGAGGCTCTGGTGTCCCATAGACTGGGGTCAAACCCCAGCTTAGGAGCAGTGTGATCTTGGGCAAGTCATTTCGTCTCTCCGAGCCCGAGACTTCTCATGTGTAAATGCTCATGACATGGGATGGCAGAGCAATCGTGGGGGGTGGGGTTGGCAAGGCAATCCCAGGAGAGGGACAAGGCTGAAGGTGATATGCATAGTATTTACCCACAGTGAGGTCTGGACACAACCAGTCACTGAGCAGACGCCAGCCAGAGTGCTGGCAGAGTTCCGAAGGTCCCAGTTCTGCCAGGCATTATCCCTTTAGTTGTGGGTGATGAGGAGGTCCAGGGTGTCCCAAGAGAGGAGCTATGAACCAGGGCACTTGGGGACGTGTCTAGTGAGCAAGCAGCACAGAAGCGTCTGGTATTTTAACATCCCGGCTGACGGCCACTGTCTGCTCCAGATAAGGTTGAGGAGCGTGGCACCCGCCAGCTGTGCAGGCCCACAGTTCTTGGGGTGGGGCAGGATGGGGGGACTTGGCTCAGACCCCGACCCCATCCTTGTCCCACACAGGTCTTGCCAGATGGCACCTACATCAAGCTTGGGACAGAACAGAGCAACTATCTTTCCATGGTGGTGACACGGGTGGAAATTCTGTTGGGAGAGATCCTCCCCCTGCTGCAGAAGGCTTGCGTCATCGCCACGCGCTACTCGGTCATACGCCGCCAATCCCGGCTCCGGCCCAGGCAAGGGGTGCCCAGAGGCTAAGCACAGCAAACCTGGCTACCTCTCAGTCCCACCATGCCCGCCCCCTGACACCACTGGGGTGCTGGAAGCAGGCATTTCCTCCCCCACCACCCCCAAACACACCCACACACAAAAGCTTCCTGGATCTGGCCCTATCTGGGCATGTCGGTGGGGTCTCTCTGGCTCCCTCTAACCCAGCTGGCCCAACCCGTGTCTCTCAGCGTCTGGCCCCATCAGGCTCTGTGTGGTTGTGCCTTTGGCCGTGTCCAAGTCCCACTTGTTCTGCACAGCTGTGGCGGATAGAGTGAGTCTGGGTCAGCCAGACTGTGACTGGCTGAGTTTGTCTTGTCAGGTCGTGTCTGGCAAAGCCCAACTGTCATATCAGGCTGTATGTGGCAGAACTCATTCTGTCTGGCTTGACTGAGCATCTGACTGTGGTACGTCTAAGTCCGGATGCCTTTTGCTGTGCTCGGTGTGTCTGGCCACCACTCCCTCCACTCCCAGGCACAGAATAGCAAGGACCGACCGTATCCTCTGTTTTAACCTATGCACATGCGTGTGTGCACACACACAGGGTCTCCAGATACAGGACACTCAGTTAAATGTGAATTTCAGGTAAACAACAAATAATGCTTTAGAATAAACATGTCCCGATGGACACCCTCCACACCCCCGCAGGGTGCAGCAAAACGGAGTGAGACTAGGATTAGAGGGTCACAGCATGACTGAACTTGTTGTTCTGACAGTTCTCATCCCAGCTCTGCTGACTGACCCTGGGCAAATCCTTTGCCCTCGCTGGGTCTCAGTTTTCTAACCCGAAAAGGGTGAGATCAGCAGGACTGGAACTTAAGAACATCCGGCCTGAGAGCCTGGGGTTCTCATGCCGGGGGCTCAAGGGCCCAGAATGAGGCTGATGCAAGGCGGACTGAGGGCTGGAAGCCAGGCAAGCCTGCTGCACGGCTCGGCCACCTCACCTCGTTGTCCCTCAGCTTCCTCATCTACAAAATGCGTGTGGCAGGAGCGGCCCTTCAGGGTGGCGTCGAGGGTGAAATGCAGTAAGATGTACCTGGCCCTTGGCCTGGGGGCCTTTCCTCTGGCAAACCCACAGCACCCTCAAGCTGGGCTTTAGGATCCTGGCCGAGGGAGTCTCTCTGGAGGACAGGGCTGCTGGGAAGAAGCTGCTGCTGCTATGTCCTGCTTGCAGCCCATTTGTCTGGGTTGCAGAAATGTTCCCAGGATGGTTATAAGAAGGACGTGTTGGGTAAGGAGCTGCTGCCCCAGAGAGGAGCCCCCAGGTCCCTGCCCTCTGTGGGGGCTTCTCATAATCACACCCTCTTTCAATCTGCAGTTACTGCATGGCCCCTGTGTGCTGGACACGGTCTCGGGCACTGAGAACACAGCCATGGGCAAGGCAGAGATGCAGTCCCTTCCTTGGGGTCCCACCAGACCTGAGCTCACATCCTAAGTTATTGCTGAGGCTTGACATATTTCTGAGCACGTGGGCAGCGAAAGGTCACAGGGCCAAATCATCAGGGGTGCAGGGCCACCGCTCTTCGCCTGAAATCCTTGGGACCAGATGTGTTGGAATTCAGAAGTTTTCAGATTTTAGGATAATACAGCGTGTATGCTGGCATTCTGTTAACCGGCCCCCACAGCGGGCAGTAAGCAAACATGTCGATTTCTGCCATGAAACGTGTGGACTGTCATGTTAGATGGGATTTTGAGAGGTTATTAATGGCCTCATGTCAGCTCAGGCCAAGTTTTGCAAAGAGTTATGCGGAACTGTCTGTCTTAAAGGTTTTTATGGTGTTGGGGATATAGGAGGATGGACATGGCCAGTAGCTATCTTCTAAATCTTCAGCTTCTTTTCCCCTCAGTGACCCAGAAGCAAAAATCCTGGACTACCAGACACAGCAGCACAGACTCTTTCCTCAGCTGGCCATGAGTTACGCCTTCCATTTCCTGGCAGTCAGCATCTTGGAATTCTTCCGGCGCTCCTACAATGCCATTCTGGACAGAGACTTCAGCCTCCTGCCTGAGGTACCTGCTGTCTGCTGAGGGGCAGGCACTGGGACAGCGGGTGAAGTCGCCCTGCTCACTGGGAAGCAGCCACAGCCCTGCTCCCTTGGGCCCTTCCCGCCCCCCCCAGCCCCCCAACATCCCAGGGTATCTGGGTGATAGACAAATTTACTCATACCTGGCCCCCAGAGACAGCTACACAAATGTCAGAGGAAATAATCTATAGAGAACACAGGTCCACAATCCCTGATGTGCATCTGAAACCCCAAAAGTCCTGAAAACTGAAAGTTGTTTGGAACTCATTTGGTGGCATAGTTTGACATGAACTGACCTAATTTATCCCACCGAGTGTGAATACATTTTGCAGCAGGATTATTAATCCTGCTTAGTGTTTAATCACTAACGCTGCCCCAAACCCCACTGGGGGTATCATATATAATATACCTTAAATGCCCGCTTTACCTTTCTAAAATTCAAAAAGTATTCTGATTCCTAAACAGATTTGGCCCAAAGGTTTAGGATAAAACACTGTAGAATTACATACATGCTCAGATTCAGTCTGTCCAGGCACGGTGCTTTATAAGAATTGCTTCATTAATCCTTCCAACTGTAGAGTAGGCACCATTTATATCCCCATTTTACAGATGAGGAAACAGAGGCATGGAGAGGTAAAGGGACACGACCTTTTTCTCAAGGACTTGAAAGTTTGAAAGATGGGTAGAGGCTTTCAAGAACCAAACACTCAAATCAGACCTGCTGCCTGACAGCTCTTCTGTTGGGGCCAATATAACAAAATAATATAAACTGGTAGCTTATAAACAATAGAAATTTATCTCTTACAATTCTGGAGGCTGAGAAGTCCAAGATCAAAGCACCAGCAGATTTGGTGTCTGGTGAGGGCTTGCTTCCTGGTCCATAGATGGTACCTTCTCACTGTGTCCTCACGTGGTGGAAGGGAGGAGGAGTCTGTCTCAGGCCTCTTTCATAAGGGCACTAATCCCATGCATGAGCGCGGCTCCACCCTCATGGCCTGATCACCTCCCGAAGGCCCCCGCCACCTCCTAATACCACTTGGGGGTCAAGATTTCAACATACGAATTTTGGGCAGACACATTCAGACCGCAGCACCCTCCCACAACCCAGGAAGTGGGTTGACAGTGGACACCCATCCTCACAGGCCAGCTTTCCAAAACCTCTGCTTGCCAGCAAAATCCATAACTCCTGGAGGATGGTGGGCCCAATCCAGGTAGCGCCCTATTCCCGAGATCCTGGAGACACTGTCCAGGCCAGGTCTTCCTTTGTTCTTATTGCCGCTACGGCGACATTGCCTAATTGTGTTACTTTGGGTGAGTCACATAACCTCTCTGAGTCTCAGCCTCCTCATTCATAAAGTTGTGAGCTGAGGAAACCCTTCTTCCCTCACAGAGCCGTGCTTGGCACGCGGTAAATGCTCAGTAAGTGGGAAACGAAGGGCCACCCTTACGCCGCCTGGCCCCTCTTCCTGTCCTCACAGCTCCACGCACTGAGCACAGGTGCAAAGGCCATGATAGCAGACTTCTGCATCCAGGGAGCCGAGATGTGCTGCAGGGCCTGTGGCGGACACGGATACTCAAAGCTGAGTGGCCTGCCATCACTGGTCACCAGAGTGTCGGCATCCTCCTACTACGAGGGTGAGAACACAGTGCTCTACCTGCAGGTGGCCAGGTAAGGTCCAGACTGGCCCAGGCCTCTGCCCAAGCCCTCGGGACATGCCACATTTCTGCTTGGGTTGAGGCTTCTGGCTGATGCCCACAAAGGGAGCGGACTGTGGGAAGCAGCATTTGGGGGCTGTCCAGTTCCCACAGTTTGTCTCTAATCTGCCGGCTTCCCCTCAGATCCGCTGCTGCTCCAGCCAGGCCACCACCCTCCCACCTAGACAGCGGCCTCAGCCTCCTCCCTGGTCTCCTGCTGCTACCCCACCCCACTGCTCCCCAGGCAGCCAGAGGAATCTTTTCAAAGCCTGGAGAAGATCACATCTTTCTCTTGCTTAAAATTCTTTAGTGGTTTCCCACTGCTCACAGGAAAATGCCTCTCTCCATACTGTGGCCTGCAAGGTCCTTACGACCTGACGCCTGCCTCCCTGCCCATCCTGCTCTCACACCTCCTGCCTCTGCTCACTTCTGCCAGCCACACACTTCTCTCCCACCACGGACTTTGTACTTGCTTCCCTCCTGCTCAACACTGCCTTGCTTCCTTTGCAACAGTTTCATCGCCTATAATTGTCTTTTTTTTTTTTTTTTCCGTTTACCTTTCCAGCTCTGCTTCCTAACTAGATCAGGAGTTCCTTGAGGGCAGGGGCCACAGCTGCCTTGCTCGCCGCAGCATCCCCAGGCTTGGCACAGAGCCTGCACACACGGGCTCCAGCCTGAGGCAGGAAGCGATGGCCGAGTGGGCCTCCTCCACACAGGCGGTTTCCTCTCATCCCTCTTACGTCTGTGGGGTCTCAAGGCTGACAGAGCCCCTCACACTCACCTATTCTCAGGTGGCTAAACACGGCAAATGCTTCTTTATGCAGGGAGAAAGGAGTTCACTGGCAAATATGATATAAAACATTTACTGGATTTTTTAAAAAAACATAACATTTATTGGGGTTTTTTTTCCAAATTACAAAAGGAATGCAATAGCATATATTAGGTACTTGGTGCCCAGCACCATGCCAAGTACTTCCCAAATGTTATCTCATTCGGTTTTCACAACCCTCCTATCAGGTGAGAATTACCATCACCATCTAGAGATGGAGACTTAGGGAGGTGAAGCTACTTCCACAGTATCACACGGTCTCGGGGAAGCTGCATGGGAATCCGGGCTTGTCTGAGCCCAGATCCTATAACCACTAGGTTATCAGAAGGCAGCCTCTGAGAGTCACCCATAATCCTCCGACTTGTGTTAGCATTCTTGCATCTACCCTTTCTCAGCTAAGAAAATTTAATTTCCACATAGTCACTGTATAAGTCATCATAAATCCCCGAATCAGAAGATCTTGACAGAAAATATTCTGTTTGCTCAGATCTCAAAAGGGTTTATGTTCGGGATCTCAGAGTGTCTGCCGCAGCTCCGCAGCCGTTTCCCTTGTCGGCGTGCTCACGCAGTAGGATGGCATGAGGGGCTCTGGAGCAAGGGGTACCCATCAGGAGGACACTGGGCTGAGGCCTGGGTGACGCTAGCTCTCCCGTGTGAAGCCTGAAGCCAGGATAAGCATGCCTGTCTCTGGGAGTGCGGGGTGCTGGGCTGTCCCACAGAGCGCCCCCACCTCTCACCTGCCTCCACCCTCCATCCCCCCCCGCCACCCCCCAGGTTTCTGGTGAAGAGCTACCGGCAGGCTCAGGTGTCCCCTGGATCCACATCACAGAGGTCTCTTCCTTCATCTGTCGCGTATCTTACTGCACCTGATCTGTCCAGGTGCCCAGCCCAGAGGGCAGCCGACTTCCTCTGCCCGGAGCTCTATACCACGGCCTGGGCTCACGTGGCAACCAGGTAAGCCAGTGCTAAGACATCCACCATCCCACCTGGGGGTAGGCTGCTTCCCACACTAGGACCTGTGGGAGTTATTGCATGGACATTCGTGTATACACTTCTGAAAACCACCCCACCCCTCGCCTCCCCAGTCCTCTCGGGTCCTGCCGCCCATCGGCCGTCGACCACCATCATTTCCCCATCCTGGTCACAGCAGTAGAGGACATCACCTCTCTAGCCAGTGAAAGGAATTTTAAAAATCCTTAGGTCCCCGTGGTGATTTACAGTACAACGTATGTACCCATATGTAAATACTACAAATGTATCAATAGGCAAATACTAATAAAGCAATACCCATATGTTTGAAATATCCTATAATCTAAAAATAACTTTCAAAAATACGGCTACATCAAGGGTTATTTCCAGGGTCTAGTAGGCTCCAGGGAACACGGACAAAACCAACGACTCATCTATTCTGTCATTCAACAAATATTGTCAGGTGAATCGTGCAGGCTATGTCAGGAATGACCAAATATGTCAGCGGCTGGGGATGAAGACAGGTCCAGCCCAAGCATAGACACCACCAAGGAAAAGACAAAAGGATTTCCTACATAAAAAGGAAGTCTTCTGAACCCTGACTCAAATTAAAACACCAAAAACAAACTGGAATAACAAAACAAAAATATTTTCAGTATATGCTAAGAGGTCTTATATCCCACACTTGTGATCCCAGAGATGTTTAATAGTTATTTCAAGATCAAAAGCAACTTGGGACATTCATTTCCTTATTCCAAAAATATTTATTAAGTGCTTACAACATGCCAGGCACTGTTCTCGGCACTAGGGATCTATCAATAAACCAGTCAGATAAAAACCCTCAGGCCTCAGAGAGCGAGCACTTTAGCTGGGAGAGTTGAGGAAGGAAAAATAAGATGGCTCAGGGTCATTAAAATGCCATGATATTTCTCTTTGCTTGGAACTCAACGTGACATCTGCTTATCTATTCCCTGGTGAAGCAAAATAAATATTGCTTCATAAACAGTTTGCTTTACACACAAATTCCAAGGGTCATGGGTGGATGGACAGGGAATAGAAAATAAAAGGGGATTTGAGCTTAATAAAATGGCAAATGACTAATTTAGCGGTTTGGAGAACAAGGGTTGGTTTTGTTTTTGTTTTCAGGTCCCTTGAGTAGGACTTGCAGCAGGCGGGTGACTGACAGGCCTCACCAGCCTTTGGAGAAAAAACATTCTCCTTGCTCAGGCCATAGGCAGTCAGTCAACAGAATGGCCAGAAAACAGTGGCATCAGGATAGAATCTGCATTGGAAAGAGGGGACAGCTCCTGGCCTATGGCCTTGAGGCTTCACAACATGGTGATTAAGAACAAATCCAGGCCAGGTGTGGTGGCTCACACCTGTAATTCTAGCACTCTGGGAGGCCGAGGCAGGAGGATCCCTTGAGCTCAGGAGTTGGAGACCAGCCTGAGCAAGAGTGAGACCCTGTCTCTACTAAAAATAGAAAAATTAGCCAGGTGTGGTGGCGCATGCCTGTAGTCCCTGCTACTCAGGAGGCTGAGGCAGGAGGATCGCTTGAGCCCAGGAGTTTGAGGTTGCTGTGAGCTAGGCTGATGCCACGGCACTCTAGCCCGGGCAACAGAGTGAGACTTTCTCAAAAACATAAATAAATAAATAAATTTTAAAAAACAGTCCTATCATTTTTTTAAAAAGTAAAAAAATTAATATAGATTAAGAAAGAAAAAAAAAGTCTAAATTCTGACCCTGGACAAGTTAGTTAACCTCTCTTAGACTCCCCCCTGCAAATTGGGAATGTCTGCCCTTAAAAGGGTTAAAGAGATAATGAGTATCAGGCATTTAGCTCTATGACACATAAGTGGTCAATAAATAAGAATTATGTCTATTGCTGAGGGACCCCAGGCAGCCCATCAGTTACATTTTCCACTCAGTCAGGAAGCTGAACCTCTTTTTCTTTGGTCTGCAGGCTCATAAAGGATTCGGTACATCATTTACAGACCCTGATGCAATCTGGGGCGGACCAGCACGAGGCCTGGAACCAGACCACTGTCATACTCCTCCAGGCTGCTAAGGTGAGCTGTCCATCAGCTGAAGCTGAAAGGGACCCGTTTTGTTTCCCAGGCAGGCTACCCTGCTGGGAAAATCCAAGCTCTGCCATTATTCCCCAGCCCTGCTCGGTGGCCGCTGCCCTCATTTCACTTCCAAGGCTTTAGTCCAGGGTTATTTTAATTAAAGGACTTAACTCCAAAGCAATCTTGCTGGCAGCTCTTAGGGGAAAAGGTAATGAGGCAGTGTTATTGGATTTGCTTCAGGTTGTTCAAATATTTCCTCCCAGACAGAAAAGCAGGTCAAGTCTCCCCTTAGCCCCACAGGCAATTCTTGGATGTCTGATTCAATTTCACTATGTTTTGTGTTTGTGCATAATTTACCATCAGTTGGCAAATATTTGAGAACCCAGGCACGGGGCTGGGTGCTTGACAGTGAAGCCACTGCCCAGACACAGCCACAAGCAAGGAAGCACCATGACAGGGAAATGTAGGCTGTGATGGGACCGTAGAGCAGATGCATCTCTGCCCACCTTTGGGAGTCAGAAATGCTTAACAGAAGGAGCAGCAAATAGGCTAAGACTTAAAGGATGAGCTGAAATAACCAAGGGTCATGGGTGGCAGCTTCCCAGAGGAAGGTTTCCAGGCAGAGGGAACAGCGTATGCAAAAGGAGGAGGCAAGGAGTGGCATGGTGCTTGGTTTGAAATGCAAACACTTCCAAGGAGGACCTACAGGAGGAAGACTGAAACAAGGAGAGGAAGGAAGGGAGGGAGGAGAAAGAGGAGAGATAGGCAAGGCCTGGGACCTTCTGCGCCATTGTGAGAAGTTTGGGTTTTGTTTTCATTGCATTGGGAAGACTGTGCCGAGTTTGTATCAGGAGAGTGAAGTGATCAGAGTTGCATTCTAGAAGAATCGTGCAGGGTACAGAGGGAGGAAAGGACCAGAAGCTAGAGGCCAGTTGGGAGGGAGCATCAGTGGTCTGGGCCAGGACTGAGGGTGGTCCTGACCATGAACTTGGAGGAGGGTATAGAGAGAAGTGGACAGATGGAAGGGACAGGACTCAGTGAGTGACGGTGTAGGAAAGGGTAAGAATGACTCCTGAGTTCTAGCTTAGGCAGCTGGGACTCTGGCCCTGCCAGCAACTGGAAAACTAAAGTGATCACTCCAATCCTCAGGCCCCAGGCCCAGAAAATGGCAGCCTTCAAACAGGAGAGCCCTGAAGGAGTATAGAGGCCCTTGGGGGTGGGCTGAGCTGGGCAGTCTGGGCATGAGTACCCCCTGCTGACCCACCACCTCCACCCCACCCGCCGGTGCTGCTGTTAACTCTGCAACCCTCAGTTCTGCTCAGTCCAACGCGGGGGCAGCACCTGCTGTGCTAAATGTCCCATCAACAGAGAGGGTTAGCCAAGGCTTCCCCCAAATTACCAAACAGGACCCACAGTTGCCCATTTGTCTGTCTTCCAAACCTAAGCCCTGCCTGCAAAGGGCCCAGATACTGCTTGCCAGGGCTGCTTCACTTGACACACACAGCCCTGTGAGGGAGCCGAGCGTCATCGCCATCTTAAGGGCATGGAAAGAGAATTCAGAGGAGTAAAGTCCCAGAGGTAGGAAACAGCCAAGTCAAAGATGCTGTCCTTTCCCACACACCATGGAGGGTGTGATGAGTGACTGAGGTGAGCCCCAAGCTCTGGGGGTGCCAAGGGCAGGAAGCTCAGCCAGCCTGAGGGAGAAGAGCAAGTGCTGGGGTGGTGGTGACCAAGCTGAGTCTCTGAGGTCATGACAGATAGGGCTTTCTGTGCTTTCGTGGGGGTTATCTACTCTACAAAAAGCTCAAGCACCCACCTGGGTCCCCTCTGGAAACCGTAAATGTGCAGGTAGAGAATGACTGCAACTTGGGGGACGTGGCCCATTGACAGAGGGGGAGATGAGGAGGAGCCATGGGCTAAGTTCTGGTCCCAGCTCTGTGTGACTTTGGCAGCCCTTTCCCTCCCTGGGCTTTAACTTCCCTGTCCGTAAAACAAAGGAGCATGGAAAAGCCCTTTTGGCACTGACAGGCTCTGGTCCTATAATCTTAGGCTCTGCCCAGCAGGATGTCTGTCCCCAGGACCACTGGAGCAAATGCTGGTACTCACTGTAATCCAGCCTCGGTTTCCCATGGCTTTGGCAACAGGGTAGCAGCTAGGAACACAGCCCAGTTAGGATCCCGTTGCCACTACTTACCAGTCATGTGACCTTGGGCAAGAAACTTAACCTTTCAGAGCCTCAATCTCTTCATTTGCAAAATGGAGCTGATAACAGTACCTACTTTGTAGGATTATGATGAAGATTAAATGAGTTAATACATGTAAAATTCAGGCACCTAGCACATAAGTGTTATATATCCCATCCTCACCCCCAAATTAGACAGGAGCCAGGATTTAAACCAACACACATACAGAGTAAATAAAGTTCACTGTGTTCAGAGAATGGTGCCAAGGTTCTGCTCGGCCTTTCCCCAAAGCATGTAGGCCACCTTCTCCCTCTAGTCCCATCCTGCTTTCCAAGGCAGAGGCCCAGGCCCTCGGGTAGCTTTCCATCACCCCACTCCTCAACCCAGAGCCTTGAGCATCTGAGACTGTGGCCCTCAGATTAGGACGGAGAAAACAGGGCTTAGGTAAAAGAAATGTGAGTCTCCAGTTCTGCCAAGCTGGACCCAGTGTGAGCACCAAAGGCTGCCAGCACCAGCAGAGGCAGCACAGCACATGTGCTCATGTTCCACAAGCCAACGCTGCAAGCCCCGCGTGGCTGTGAGCGCACCAGGTCTGCGCTGCAAAGTGGAGTTATCAGCACCTGTGTGAGGCCCCTGGGAAATGTAGGTTCTTTCCAAGTGAGAAACCTGATCAGGTCACTGCCCTGCTGAAGAGTCCCTGGCCCCACACAATAAAACCCCAACCAGGTCAGTCACAGCCCTTCATCGACCTGGGTCCCAGGTACACGGACACCCTAACTCCCGCAGTCCCTCCATCGTTACCGCATCATACCCCAGCGCTTCTGCTCGTTAAATTGCTGGCAGCTTCCTGAAAGCACAGCCCTTTGCACACAAAGGTCCCCCTGCCTGAAATGACCTTTCCTCATCCCTTGTCCCTCGGGGTGAACTCCTCTGAACCCCAAGACATTCTAAGTCTTTCTACTTAGTCACTACCAGCAGCACGGGCATCCCAGGGGAGTCATTAGAAATGCATGGTCTCAGGCTCACCCTGGGACCCACATCTGGACAAGATCCCCAGGTGATCTGTATGCACATACAGATTTGAAAAACGCTACTCTCTCTCTTCCTTTCTCACCCTCCTGGAACTCACACATCCTACATGATAAAATATTAATAATTATGTGCACTTGTCTTGGGGAAGGGGAATATTCAAAATATTTAAAACCAATAGGACAGGGGCACCAACCAATCAAAAAGGACTGTGGGCCTGGGGGAAGCAGGGCCCTGAAGGCCCTCTGTTTGGTCAGACATTAATCCTTTAGTTGCTAGGCTGTGGGGAGAAAGAAGGAGTCCCAGAGAAGGCGGCCATCTGGCAGAGGGGCTCTCCACTGGGTTGATGGCAGTGGTTACTTACCAACAGGTACCAAAATATTATTTTAACAACTGACAGAGACAGACTGTTACATATGGGCTAAATAACAGCACTGCTTACCTTAAGGAGTTTATGCTCTAGCTGGGATAAATTTCCATATGCATCTGAACCCTCACTTTCTCACGCCATGGCGCACACACGCACACCACTGCCTTGACCATGGCAGACAATAGCTATTTTCTTGAGAAGAGTGGTGTTGCCCTCCACTGTCCCAAAGCCAGCCTCCAATATTCTTTCTTTCTACTTTCAACCCTACTTGAAGCTGCCCCAAGCAAAATGAAGAAACCAATGGCCAAGTTTCAAAGCCCACCAGCCCTCAACATACACACACATACACAAAGACACGTATGAAAAGGCTCAGTCAGACCCAGAGTGAGCTAGGAGAAAAGGCAGCTGCTTGTCAGCCTGCTGGGAAACACACGGCTGCGACAAGTTGATTCAAGCGGTCTTGCCAAGCTTCCAGGATGACTTCTAGAGTTGGAAATCAGAAATCAGTGGCTAACACAGCTGTGCGTCTCTCTAGGCGCACTGCTACTATACCTCCGTGAAGAGTTTTAGTGAAGCTCTGCAGAAACTAGAAAATGAACCTGCAATTCAGCAGGTGCTCAAGCGTCTCTGTCACCTCCATGCCCTACATGGTATCTTGACGAACTCAGGCGACTTTCTCCATGATGGCTTCCTGTCTGGGGCCCAGGTGGACATGGTGAGAACGGCCTACCTGGACCTGTTCCTCCCGATCCGGTGAGTGGCTGAGACTTCAAACCACGTTGGCCTTCAGAGAATAACCCTAGACCCTGTTCACACGTCACTTTAAACTCCAAACCCGTATTAATGTGGGGTCTGGCAAATGCAGCAACAGCCCTGGAGAGGTTTACAGCCTAGCATTATTACACCAACATAAAGCATTATGAATTAATAAAAGAAAAAAATGAAAAAAATTAGAAATAAAAATGCTTAAGAATAAAGTAGCTGATTCAATTGAACTCTTCAACATGGTCCAGGAAATAGGATCAGTATCTAAGGAATATGAATAAAATGAAGCATGCTACATATGAATAATATGTGCCAATAATATGAGTCTTAATCATAGCTAACATTTAAGGAGCACTTCCGGGCCAGGCACTGTGCCAAAAGCTTTTACAAACATCATCTCATTTAATCCTTACAGCCCTTTGAAATGAATACTGTTAATCTCCCTGTTTTACTGGGGAGGAAATTCAGGCTTACGGGAGTTAACTTGCCCAGTGTCACACAATTAGCCAGAGGAGGAGCCAGGTACAATCTCAGGCCTATCTGACCCCTGAGCATACATTCTTAACCTGTATGTTAAGGTCAGCGTTGAGGTATTGTTTGTTTCAAACATATCCCTGTCTATATTGAATGTGCTTAAGCAAATTCTTACCAAGTTTAGCAAACTTACTTTAATGCTCCCTCAGCTTCAAGATGAAACTTTTTTTAAACTCAGTAATTCATGTATTGACTTGCAAAACAATAAATAATACAGCTTTTAAATGCAGCTTTAATGTAGTACCATTTAGGGTTGTGAAATACCAATGCAATGTTTTCATCTTGTTATTCTATAATCTAAATGATTGCTTTAAAAACATATCAGAACCAAAGCCCAACCTCACTAGGGTACTAGAAAAATTAGAGAGTAAAACAATACAAATTATTTACCATATTTTTCATCCATAAGATGAAAAATGCGCTAACTTAAGAACATAACTTTTTCAGGGAGGCCGAGGTGGGCAGATCGTTTGAGCTCAGGAGTTCGAGACCAGCCTGAGCAAGAGCAAGACCCCGTCTCTACTAAAAATAGAAAGAAATTAGCTGGACAACTAAAAATATA